GCGAGATATATATTGCGATATGAAAACATACAGGAATTGAAAAAATACCGTTTTTTTTTGTCCGCAAACCATCCTTTCTTGAACTTTAATGCTACAATTGGTAATTTTTTAACTATATTTAACCAGATGAAGGATTTTAGTCACGGACGTCTGGATCTTAAGTTATCAGAGCAACAAGCTGAGCTAGCTCGTTTAGCAGCTAGCTGCCCTGGAGAAACACATGAAACTACTTTATTCAGTGTTTTTACCTTTGATCACCGTCCGTTTGCTTTGGAGAGTTGATTGTGATTGGTGGTTTGCTGTCATTCACTCAAGTACCCCTGACATGAGAGCCGCGCATCTTTTCCTTTTGTAGCAAGCAGCAAAATAATTGTAACATGACGTGTTTGAGCTAATTTGCCAACTTAATATCGCAAGTCCTAGAAAAAAAATCAAGAATTTTATTTTTTAAATCGTCACGTCCTGCGATGGGAATATCGCGCATGCGCATATCGCGGTTATCGTCATGACACGATATATCGTGCAGCCCTAACACAGCATGATGTTTATTTGGTAAAATGATGGCCGCATTTAAAGTACAATTGATGATGAAGCAGAGTACATTTAAGGGCGCGGCACATTTGTGATTAACACAGGAATTAAGAAAGGAAATAAATAAGAGAAGTTGAACCAAAAGAAAAAGACTAAAAAGTGAATCCAAGCGTGCCTAAAGCATGCATGTGTCTTCCACATTGTACTTGTTTAAACCTTGGACTTGTTGATAAAAAACATAATATCTTAAGCCTTGAGATTGGGTCTCAGTCCAGAGCTCGGAATACAAACCTAAATTGAACTTCCTTAAGCTTTTTAACCATCCCAAAAATCTAGTGTCTTTTGGTTTTGACCTTTTGAAGTATACAGAATATCCACTTGAAGGTGTCAGAGCTCTAACTGAACACAGTATTTAAATGGCAATGGAAATGTGCTGCAACTCTCATCTCTTAAACTTTTCACAAGGAAGAAAGAACTAGACTTTCTAACCGGCATTTATCTAAATCTCCAATAGTGTCTCTTTGAAATGTATCTCACATTCGTCCATCTTTATCTTATCTCTCATTGTGCTTCTCCTCTGGTGGCAAACACAGGTCAGATTGTATAGAAGTCTTTGAGAAAATGGCCTTACTGCTCACTTGATTTAATACAGTAAACATTTTCCCGATCAGTCTTTGTTTTCGATCTCTGGATTCAAGTCTTTTTCAAATCTGCATGATGTTCAGTTTCTAAATGATCGTCCCAATTACAGTAAAATAGACAGGGTGTACTTTAGGGCGGGGCTAAAATGTGATTGACAGGTGATTACCACACTCCTTTGTCTAGTTTGGGTTCGTCTTACAACTTTGAACCCTTTCACTGAGTGTTTTCAGTTCATAGAAGCAGATGTTGTTCTCCGTGGTTTAGTTTATTGGTTTAGTTGTCATGGACCATGTACAAAAATAACATACGTCTCAAAGATATAAAATGCTTTGGACCAGATTATATCAGTTTGCTCGTTTCCATCTGCAGTCCCTTGGCCGGTCAACACAAAATACAGCACATTCAATTTTATAATAGCATCTTGTTCAACGTTTGGCTCGCTCAACCCTCTAGTCCCTTCTGGTTACAAAAACAAAGATGGAGATGGGGATCCAAAAAAAACAAGATATCAACGACCAAAACACGAATTTCCAGCCTTCAAAATTGTCTTTCCACAAACGAATGGTTGAGGTTAAAGTGACTGTGACCTATTATTGCATACAGTGAATAACAAGAATGAAAGGGACTAGAAAGAAATGATAAATGTTTGGATAAGAAACTGAAAATAAAAAGAGATAGGAACGGAGAAAACAGAGAAGTGAAAAGAAAGTCTGGATACATTTATATAGTTGTTGACGCTACTAGAAAGTTCTTGAACGTTGTTGAAGTTACTCGAGAGTAAGTGAAGGGGCAGGGGTGGGAACAAGTTTAGCTTATTTACGTTTATCTATTTTCTTTTTCCCATAGTGTTACTTCAGGTTAGTGAAAACAGGGGATTTTGGAGAATTTAGTGTTGTTATCGAGGTGGTAATGCAACTTTATTTGTATTACCAGTTTATCACCAGGTAGGTTGACACGTACGAGGAATTTGACTTGTTGTTGTGGTGCATACATAAAAGTAAAACAAAAATTAAAAACACAGATAGAGAACTTTTTTAAGAAAACTTTAATAACGTAAAAATACATAGTGAAATATAGCAGTATTTATATTGAAATATAATTGGAATAAAATATGTGCAGTCATAAAAAACAAGATATTGTGTACATTGAGTGCATTAATGTATTGCAGAGAGTAAAAACCAAAGAAGAAGAAAAGGTAGAAATGGGAGACTGATGGAAGTAAGGAAAGGTGAGGTGAAGAAGCAGAATGTATTTTCAATGTAGTGTTTTGTGTTTGTCTGTTACGTACAAAACAATTTAAAATAAAGTTTTCAACAAAAATAAATAAGTAAAGAAGGATGTTTACCTTCACACTGTCCTCATCCTGTCCCAGATACAGACTGCTGTCCGGCAGCGTGAGTCCTTCCTGATCAATCTGCACACACACACACACACACGCACGCACGCACGCACACACACACACAGACAGACAGACAGACAGACAGACAGACAGACAGCAGACAGACAGACAGACAGACAGACANCAAAAGTTGAACATTGCTCAACTTTTGAATCCTGAGATGCCTGGAAATCTCCGCTTTGCTTCCCACAATGCAGTTCGGCGAAAAGTGAGGCAAAGTGACGTCACCCCATTCAAAGTGAATGGGCAGAAGCGTTGGAAGATTTTTTTAACGCTGCTGTTTGGACGGGCCGTAAGGGAGAGAACGGCTGCTCAAGGCTGGGCAGCTGCGTCAGAGGGCGAAGGAGGACACGCAGGGCAAATGATTCCCCAACAGTTAGGATATAAGGAGCTACTGAGTTTTGATTGATCACAGAGAGAGCTATTATAACGCACATATTGTATTCTCAGGGTAAATTGTATTATCATTATTGTAGTTGTTTTGTGTATGTTTAAAAATCTCGTTAACATTTTTTCTTACACGTTTCAAAATGTATGATCGTTTCTTTAATATCTTTTGAAATAGTTGTATATTTTCTCTTTTTTTAACAACTTATTTCCTCTAACTGAGCATATTCCTAGCACGTGTAAACTAACCATAAATCTGATTCTGATTACAAATGAAAATTGGCTCCACAACACCACGTGCAAATGATCAAATCTGCAGAGAAAATGCGAAGCATGTCTTTTTAATGCCAGCGTTTGACTCTTCCAGACTTGATTTACGACAACAGGAACAAAGCTAATGATAAACTCAAGTTACATTTAAACAAAAGCCTAAGAAAAGAAGAGGGGTCAGAGCCCTGGGAACAACATTCACTGCAGCAGAATCCTCATTAAGTCATTAAACATGTTGAGACTCGACTGCGACGCTCCACCCGAGCTCTAAACAATCCGGCTCACTTCCTGGGAGCTTCCCTCTCTTCCTTCAGCCTCCCTCTCTTCCACCCCCCACGCGCACTTCCTGTCATTTTCCCGAAACAGAGCCTTTGCTGACATCCAGATGCAGTTTCCAGTTTGCTGATTCATTTCTCCTCCGAACTCGGGAGGTGAACCCCTGCGAGTTTCGGAGAGGTGTTTCCCTTCAGAATGATGTAACCATAGAACATCTACTCCTAAGGGTTTACTGTTGCTGTCTTAGTGGGTCATTATGCAAGTTATTTTGAGTATCTATTTTCATTAGTATTACTGTGACGGTCTTCTTACGATAGTATTATTATTAACAGCACCTGTATTTGCACTCTGTATTTTCTCCTGTTACTTTGTTATGTGTGGAAAATCCAACAAAGTGTTCTCAGTACATTTACTCAAGTACTGTATTTAAGTACAATTCTGAGATACTAGTACTCTACTTAAGTATTTCAATTATGATTTGCTACTTCGTACTTGTACTCCACTACTAATCAGAGGTAAATAGTGTACTTTTAGTCCACTACATTTATTTAATAATGTACTTTAATAACAGTACTTTTCACCTCTGTATGTGACCGAGCCTCCCACAGCGAAAGATTTGGAGCAGTGGGAACATCTGGCAGCTCTCACTGACCTTAACTTCCAGCTGTTTGGAGCTTCAGAGCTCTGCCACCAGCCAAAGACAGGAAGTGGGGAGCCAGTAGGCCGTCAAGTCAACCCAACACTAAAGCTGCAAAACACAACCTTTGTTTTTTCCACCTTTAAAATGCCTACGCATCTCAGCAAGGTGCTAAAGCTGTCTGTGTATCTCTAAGAACGGTGTTTACTCTGCCTAATCCAGCACTCTTAAAGACTCACTTTAATCTACGGATTTAAGATGCTGGTTTCCAACAGATCATGTCAAAACAATCCTCAAACAATCACAGGATGAGAGTAATTATTTACTTGTCCTGATATAAATCTCAACTAAGAAAACAGATTTATCTTAAGAGGATAATAACAACTGTCTACGTCAGGGGTGTCAAACTCAAGGCCCGGGGGCCAAATCCGGGCCGCAAGCTAATTTTATGTGGCCCGCAAGAGCTTGCAAAGAATATAATATACAATACAATTGGTGGAATTGTTGAATATTTACTTTCATTTATTTGCCCTAGACTTCTGCTTTCAGACGTAGTTACTTGTGAAGATATTACCAGAACTGATAATAATCCAATGCAGGGCCAACAATGTAATATAATACATTATTTAATATATATTATATATATTTACATATGTATATTTATATATAATTAAAATTACAACCGGTCCTTTGAGTGCAACCATAATGCTGATGTGGCCCGGGATGAAATTGAGTTTGACACCCCTGGTCTACGTCTTTCAATTAGACGTGTGGATAAACCAATCTAAGCCTTTCATTAACTGACACTGACAGGCGGAAACAAGCAGAATGGCATTACTATATTCGATGAACACATTAAAATAATCCCAATAGCAGATTTTTGGAGTATCAGTGAGAGGTCACGGTCACATTTCCCCAAAATATACATTTTCTTCCAATACTGAAGCAGATTTCCGATCTGGACTTTCACGCAAATATAGTTGCGGTCTACATTCACGCATGTGTGTCTGTGCACTAACAAAGAGTCCTAAAGAGTGCTGCATTATGGGTTGTTTGAGTACGTTTCTTCAAGCTTGTTTTCCAGCTAATTCCCATCTATCCTTTGCTAGAGTTCAACTTTGGTGAACTTTCAGGCAAATATGGACTCTGCAAGCGATGGCAACTAACCTGCATGTGTGACCACTATCGCAGGCTCCTAAACAGCATGGCACTGAGATGTTTGAAGCCATGGTGTTTGTCTTCTAGCTCTCGGTAGCTCTAAGGTTTAAAGTAAGCTCACTTTAAGCTAATGGCTCATTTGATGCGTTTGCAGCTTCGTTTACTTGCAATGAAAAACGTATTAGTGGCAATCATTTGGATCCTTGCCACGATTGGAAATAAAAGTTACAATCAGTTGAAAGAATGTCTCGTGCAGCTCCGATCAGTTAGGTTCTGCTCTAACAAAAAATGGTGGCACTGACATGTCGTGTATCAGTTGAACAAGAAGACAGGCTTAAATGATTGGGACTAAGGGTGTAATGGTTCTGAAACGCAGATGAAACTTGGACATGAGAGCATGAACCGCTTCATGCTAATTTCTTTACGAGGCAGAGCTCTCAGCACAGCTGCTAATAAAACTGAGATTGCAGTTCCTAATTCATGCGAAGCTGAATTATAATACCTCCGTGTTATATAGCATTATGCCATTTGATTTCATAAAAGCCAAACTACACAAACAAATCTACTGGGAAAGGTATCTGCTTTCAAAAAACATCTGTATATGTGTAGAAACGGCCTCATATTCAGGGTGGCCTTATAAATCATACGGATATAAAAAAAAAGGTATAAATGTGTAAGTGAGGCTGTGGCTCAGTGGATAGTGTGCTGGACTTCGACTAAGGGGGTAGCAAGTTCGAGTCCCACTGCAGTCAGCATGTCGTTGTGTCCCTAAGACACTTCACCCCACATTGCTCCTGTGGGGATTGTCCACAGTACTGAATGTATGTAAGTTGCTTTGGATAAAAGCGTCTAACAAGTGACATGTAATAATAATAATAATAATAATAATAATAAAATGTGGGATAACACGGTCGACTGCTCACCTCAGGTCTTCCAGGAGGTCACACTCTGTCTGGTGTTTGATTTGTAATCTGCTCATCTGCTCTGCATGAGTGTGTTTCAGCTCCTGGGTGACCCGGACCTGCAGGGGAACACAGACAAAGTATTTATTTAAAGTTATCTGGACTGTTTTCTTCAGCTCGTACAGAAAGACAAAGATATTTCTCCACGTTGTGTTTGAGTATTGATTCCCAGATGTTTACCAACACCTTAAGAGGCGAGTGTTGAATCAGCTGTTCTAGCAAAAGGTGTTAATGAAAATGAGCCGCTCTAATTAACAGGCAGACACTCCGGACAGGTGACAGTTGGTCTCACTGGGTTTCTAATTGGCTGTTAGATTAATTAGGACATACTATGACCAGGTCTCATTACTCAGAACTGGGAGTGTTGTTAACTTACTTATTTATTTCCATTATGAGCCAGATTTATGTTCAATAGTTGCAACTAAAATAGAGTTTTCAACAAAAACACACAATATAAGGTTTGTCTTCACCACATAAGATATTGAACTGTAAAAGCTAGTGCTGCTCAATTAGTCACCTTTTAATTGCAATCACAATTTTGGCTTTCCACAATGAAATGATCACATGCGATATAAAAGTTTTAAATAAATGCTCTGCTCACAGAAAAAGCCACTGCATATAATTATTATAGCCTCTTGACTTTGATCTAAAAGTGCATTGAATTTGAAAAATGTAGGCTTTAAATATAGGTTGAATACATAATGTCAATTTGTTCTTATGTTCTGCATCCTTCATTAACACGATTGTATCACAACATGGAAGACCAAGCAGTGATTTCTTTATTTAAATGTGAAAGAGTTGTGCACGTAGCTAAAACCAATCTCAATATTGATCAAAATAATATCGTAATCGTGCAGCTCTACTTAAAGGTCCCATCTTACGCTCCTTTCTAAACCATTATCTATTAGAACGAGTTAAAGCCACTCTTTATGCCTGTCTGAATATAGCCGTCTGACACGCTGAGTTAGAGCGCGTTTCAACGTAATTGCAAAGCCATGCAACAGCTTGGGTTCCTTATTACTTCCTGTCAGCAGTTTTCATTCACATACCATGCAACTGGGACACAGCTCTCAATTAGTCGGTGGAAATTAAATTAATTGTCAACTATTGTGCCAACTAATGAAGCGGGAGGATTTGTGCCGTTTTGAAACGGATATTTTTAGGTTTTAAACAAAACAGGCAATTTAAAATGTCCATTTCGGCATTATTTCCCACAGCAAACAACCAAATGGAGTCTT